GAAAGGCATTTTTTTTTTTTTTCTGAGTTGGAGTCTCACTCTGTCGCCCAGACTGGAATGCAGTGGCACATTCCCGGCCACCACAGCCTTGACCTGCTGGGCTCCGGCGATCTTTCTGCCTCAGCCTTCCGAGTAGCCGGAATTACAGCCACACGCTACTACGCCCAGCTCATTTTTATTTATTGTAGAGAGGAGGTCTCGCCGAGTTGCCCAGGCGGGTCTTGAACCCACAGGCTCAGGCAGTCCGCTTGTCTCAGCCTCCCAAAGTGCTGGGATTACAGGCTGAGCCACTGAGCCCGGCCAAGAAAGGCATTTTTAAGTAGCTGTGATTGTGGGGTTTTGTGTGTGTGTGTGTGTGTGTGTGTATGTGTGTGTTTAATGTTAGTGGGGTTTTTTTTCCCCACAGTAGAATTAAGAGAAGGAATCCGAAATAATCCATTCCTATCCAGTATACAGAGGATCCCCCAACCAGGACGTTTTGAACTATCGGGATATCCATTCCAAAGGCTTCAGGGGGGATGGGCGGAAGGGGGCTCTGGCTCTCACAAATGCCTTGGAAGACCGGCCCGAGGGTCTCTGTGTGCCTTCTAGGTCTTCGCTTAGCCAGTGCTCAGCAGACCTTCCAGGTTTTTGTTTTGCTTTATCTTAAGCTTTGAAGGGTGTATCACCATTTCCTCCCACCAGTTAAAAAAAAGTGGTTGTGTGAGATGCTAACTACTGAGAAATCCTTTCACAGCAATAATTATTTGATTTGATTTGATTTTTGAGTCGGAGTCTCACTCTGTCGCCCAGACTGGAGGGCAGCGGCCGCTCCCGGCCACCGCAGCCTCGACCCGCTGGGCTCCGGCGATCCTTCCGCCTCAGCCTTCCGAGTAGCCGGAATTACAGGCATGTGCTACCACGCCTGGCTGATTTTTTGATTTATTGTAGAGACGAGGTCTCGCTGCCCAGGCGGGTCTCGAACCCGCGGGCTCAGGCAATCCACTCATCTCAGCCTCCCAAAGGCGCGGGATTACAGGCTGAGCCACCGAGCCCGGCAGCAATAATTATTTAAAAGACATTCATTGATCTTGTGGATGAGGGGCTAGCAGATTCCTTTTCTAACTAATTATATTTTCATGATTATATTCAAAATAAACTACATGGAACAAATAGAATTTCTGGCTTTCAGGGAAATGCGTTAGATGCCTTTGGGGAACTTCTAAATCTGCAGAGAATTTGTGGATGTGAATCACAATGGAGTTCTGTGTTGGAAGCCTGGCTTACATCACCATTGAAAGATTACATCGGATTTACTTCTTGTTTTGCGGTTTTGTAACTTGTAGATTTGGTGAGAGGAGGGGAAGGAGAAGTTGTGAGTTCAGCTGAAAACTGGGTTAGAAATGGGACTTGCACTTGAAGTCCTATGGTGAGGTCTTTCCATGTCAGATTCTTTATATGTAAATACTGTTTTTTTTTAAAGAGACGGGCTCCCTCTGTTGCCCAGGCTGGAGTGCAGTGATACGATCATAGCTCACTGCAACCTCACTGCAGTCTCAATCTCCTAGAACAAAGCACCTTTTTAAAATTAAGTTACTACAAACACATAATGCCCAAGGATTGTTTTAAATTTATTTGTTAAATGTTGGCACCTTATGGATGACAGTTGGTCATAGCTATTCAGAGTTGGCAGGACTTGATAACGAGCAATAAATCATCCTGGAATTTCTTTTGTTTTGCTTTTTAATTCAGTGCAGATGCAGGTGTTTTCTTTCTGTGAGCAGCTGAGTCTGTAAATCACCTCCTGTGGAGATGGGAGTCCCGGTGCTGGGAGAGCCAGCTGTTGGGTGTTTCCGTGAAACAGCTCGCGCCTAGTGGCTGCTCAGGTCCCGGGGAGGGGTATATGGACTGCAGGGAGTGGAGCACACTGGGTGAAGGTTTGGCAAGACTTTGGTGACCCCCTTGCTGAGATTCTTATGCTGTGGCTTTTTCCTATAGCCACAGAGTTCATCCACTTCGGGTTTTCACAAATGACTCATTTTCCTGTCATAGTTTCTTAGGCTGCAATGACTTAAGAATCTTTGGGTTGGCCAGGCTCGGTGGCTCAACCTGTAATCCCAGCACTTTGGGAGACTAAGGCGAGTGGACTGCCTGAGCCCGCAGGTTCGATATCAGCCTGGGCAACTTGGCGAGACCTCATCTCTACAGTAAATCAAAAATTAGCCGGGCATGGTAGCACATGCCTGTAGTTCTGGCTACTTGAAAGGCTGAGGCAAAAGGATCGCCGGAGTGCAGCAGGTCGATGCTGGGGTTGGCCACGAACATGCCACTGCACCCCAGTCTGGGAGATGGAGTGAGACTCCACCTCAAAAAATATATATATTTTTGGGACACTGTTACAGAGTTTCTCCTGCCACTTGTGTTAGGAGGAGAAAATGGTGGTATTCAGACGGAAGCCTGGTGCCATCACATTCCCATTGATATCTGTAGTATGTAGAAAACTTTCTTTCTAAAGCCGGGCATGATGGCTCATGCCTGTCATCTCAGCACTTTGGGAGGTGAAGGTGAGAGGATTGCCTGAGCCCAGAGGTTCAAGACCAACTTGGGCAAACTGGCGAGACCTGCTCTCTGCAATAAATCAAAAAATTAGCCGGTCATGGTGGCACATGACTGTAATCCTGGCACATGCCTGTAATCCTTGCACTTTTGGAGGCAGATGCAAGAGGATCACCTGAACCCAGGACGTCGAGGCTGTGGTGGCCGTGAGCATGCCACTGTACTCTAGTCTTGGTGACAGAGTGAGACGATGACACAAAAAAAGAAAGAAAGAAAAAAAGACTTTGTTTCTTCCTGAAAATTGGCATTATTAGTGATTCATTGTTTTCTGTGGGAGGAAGCCTATGACCTTCTCTTTTCTCTCTTCCTTCCAGAGGGAATCTGGAAAAGTTACAATCAAAACATCATTTCTCTAAGAAAAATTTGGGTAACAGAAGTTCTGGATAGCAGGTAAAGTGTGTTCAACTTCTTTTGGTGACAAACCCCTAATAATTTGTGGAGTAAACTGGGAATGGGAGGGGGTGGGTGAAAAGCTGCATGTGCTCTGTGTGAGGGCAGCATTAGAGACTTTACCTGTATTATGGTGGGGTTTTTTGTTTGTTTCTTTGTTTGTTTTTTGAGTTGTCACTGTTTTGCCCAGGCTGGAGAGCAGTGCCATGCTGCTCACGGCCACTGCAGCCTTGACCTGCCTGGCTCAGGCAGTCCTTCTGCCTCAGTCTTCCAAGAAGCTTTAACCACAGATATGCACCACCACACCTGGCTTTTTTTTTTTTTTTTTTTTTTTTAATAGAGACCATGTTGCCCAGACTGGTCTTGAACCCACGGGCTCAGGCAGTCCTCTCACCTCCATTTCCCAAAGTGCTGGGATTAGAGGTGTAAGCCACCTTGCCCAGCGTTATGGTGGTTTTTACCTGGATCCTGAACATAGATCTAAGAATCTCAGAATAAAACTTTAACTGTCTCTTAAAAATACTTTGCCATTGATTGAATTTAATGTTTTCATAGTTCAGTTTTGCAGTTATTATTTTAACATCTGCCATAAATAAGAGGCAGAAATACAGCATAGAGTCTGTTATGTGGTAAAGAGATCCACTCTTTGTTGCAAGACATTCACCATGGAAAAGCCAGGTTCTGCCATGCTACAGAGCCTGACTAGGGAGTGTCTTCTAGTTCCTTTGTCTTGTTTTTGATCGTTGTCAGTAGTTTGTGGCTGTTACCATTTCCCTAATTCCTTTTAGCACTTTGTCAACTGGTCTAAAATTTAAATTTCCTAATAAACTACCTCTTCAATGGAGTTCAGGCCGAGTGTCTTTTTCTTTTTAAGTCGGAGTTTTACTCTATCGCACAGGCTGGAGTGCAGTGGCATGCTCACAGCCACTGCAGCCTCGACCTGCTAGTCTCAGGTGATCCTTCTGCCTCAACCTTCCAAGTAGCTGGAACTCCAGGTGTGCACCACCACACCCAGCTAATTTTTCCTGATTTATTGTAGAGATGAGGTCTCACCAAGTTGCCGAGGCTGGTCTTGAACCCCTGGGCTCAGGCAACCCTCTTGCCTTACCTCCTAAAGTGCTGGGAGCCATTGTCCCCAGCCCTCTATTTTTGTTGTTGTTGTTTGTTTTTTGGTTTTTGTTTGTTTTTTTGAGTTGGAGTCTCACTCCATCACCTAGGCTGGAGTGCAGTGGCATACTCATGGCCACTCTAGCGTTGACCTCCTGGGCTCTGGCGATCCTTCCACCTCAGCCTTCCAAGTAGCCAGAACTACAGGCATGCTACCACGCCTGGCTAATTTTTTGATCGGTTGTAGAGATGAGGTCTCACCACGATGCCCAGGCTGGTCTCGAACCCATGGGCTCAGGCATTCCTCTTGTCTTGGCCTGCCAAAGTGCTGGGATTACAGGCTTGAGCCACCACGCCTGGCCTTGTTTTTTGTTTTTTGAGTTGGAGTCCCACTCTGTCTGTCAGGCTAGAGTTCAGTGACATGAACATGACTACTGGGCTCAGGCCATCCTTTGGAGTAGCTGGGGCTACAGGTGTGTACCACCACGCCCTGCTAATTTTTTTCATTTTCTGTCGCATTGATGTCTCACTATTTTGCCCAGGCTGGTCTTGAACTTCTGAGATCAAGCAATCCTCTCGCCTCGGCCTCCCAAAATGCTGGGGTTATAGATGTGCACTACTGTGCCAGGTCTACAATTTTACATTTTAAACCAGGGAAAATACGAAAGCAAACCAGACCTTCTAGGCCCCTGTACTCCCAGTAGATGTTCATAGACTGAGGTGAATTGTCTTCCTTAAAGGTAGTAGAGAGGCTGGGCTCAGTGGCTCAGCCTGTAATCCCAGCACTTTGAGAGGCTGAGGTTCGATACTAGCCCGGGGAACTTGGCAAGACCTCGTCTCGACAATAAATGAAAAAAATTAGCCAGGCGTGATAGCACACACCTGTAGTTCTGACTACTTGGAAGGCTGACGTGGAAGGATTGCCTGAGTCCAGCAGGTTGAGGGTGTGGTGGTCATCAGCGTGCCACTGCACTTCAGCCTGGGTGACAGAGTAAGACTCCAACTAAAAAAAAAAAAAAA